GTGCCAACATCTATATGGCGATAAAAAAGTCTCTCAGGAATCCGCCCCACTGGGTCTCAAAGTCTCAATGTAATCCTTATGGAAGCAGTATTTGACACATAAACAAAGACATATGATCAGCTGTTGACTTTTGAATACAGAAGTTATAGCTTATAGAAAGAAATAGCTGATAGTATTTTTCCACAGATATTAGAAAAGAAACGGTAAGGATCATAAATATAATCAAATGACAACACTAGCTTGAGTTTCGTGACGTAGGAAGTGGTAAAAGAAGTAGTAAAGGTGAGCAGTCTGGAGTGTGGAAACTGTTTATAACGATTAGATTAAGGTATCTTCAATCCTAAAATGCTATGGGAAGGGAGGAAAACAGGTCCGCGACAGAGGAAGTGGTGAAGGAAATAGTAAATGCGAGCTGTCTGGAGTGTGGAAACTGTTTATGACGATTAGATTAAGGTATCTGCAATCCTAAAATGCTATGGGAAGGAAGGGAAACAGTTCCGTGACGTATAAGTGGTGAAGGAAGTAGTAAAGGTGAGCAGTCTAGAGTGTGGAAACTTTTTATGACGGTTAGATTAAGGTATTTGCAATCCAGTAATACTGCAATCTTAAAATGCTATGGGAAGGGAGGAAACAGGTCCGCGACGTAGGAATTGGTGAAGGAAGTGATAGGCGAGCTGTCTGGAGTGTGGAAACTGTTTATGGCGATTAGATTAAGGTATCTGCATTCCTAAAATTCTATGGGAAGGGAGGAAAACAGGTCCGCGACGTAGGAAGTGGTGAAAGAAGTAGTAAAGGCGAGCAGTCCGGAGTGTGGGAACTTTTTATCACGACTAGATTAAGGTATCTGCAATCCTAAAATGCTATGGGAAGAAAGGGTAACAGTTCCGTGACGTATGAAGTGGTGAAGGAAGTAGTAAAGGTGAGCAGTCTAGAGTGTGGAAACTTTTTATGACAATTAGATTAAGGTATTTGCAATCGTAAAATGCTATGGGAAGGGAGGAAAACGGGTCCGAGACGTGGGAAGTGGTGAAGGAAGTAGTCAAGGCGAGCTTTCCGGAATGTGGGAACTGTTTATGACGATTAGATTAAGGTATCTACAATCTTAAAATTCTATGGGAAGAGAGGGAAACAGGTCCGCGACGTAGGAAGAGGTGAAGGGAGTAGTAATAAGAGCAGTTTGGAGTGTGGGAACTGGAAACCTTTTGTAGCAGTTAGAATAATGTATCTGCAATGCTGAAATGCTATGAGAAGGGATGGAAGCATGCCCACGACATAGGAAATGGTGAAAGAAGTAGTAAAAGCTAGCAGTGCGGAGTGTGGGGAATGTTTGTGGCAATTAGATTAACGTATCTAAAATACGTAAATGCTATGGAAAGTGATGAAAATCGGTCCACGACGTAGGAAGTGTCTTAGGAAGTAGTAAAGTATGACGACATTTTTTACTGCAGTATGACGACATTTTTTTCTGCAGTATGACAAAAACAATATTACGTACCTTTGCTGACTCCGCTGAATTTTGTGGATGCCTCTGCCAACGCCACCTACTAAAAGATATTTTATACTTCCTACTAAAACTGATAGTAGTTTAAATTGATGACAACAGCTAATTTGAACCAAGCAACAACAAAAAGCTGTGATACAAAATGAGAACCGTCAAATTAGGATTTTTTACAGAGGTATGTTTATGTTTTAAATTTAATCAATAATTTTTGATATTTTGGGAATTTTTAAGTGCATAATTTATTAACTTATTGACATTTTTTCATATTTGTTAACACAAATCTATTGTGTTTGTATCGTTTATTTCCCCAAAAATAATGTTTGGGAAGCGGAGTAGCCAGTTAATACTTTTATTGGATCACTAAAAGTTTATCTACATACCGCAAATTATGGAACATAATTATTTTCTCTAGCGTTCTTTTCTCGTTGCGAAGCACGGGTATGAATGCTAGTTAAATATAAATTAATACGGAATATATGAGCACAACTTTAGGAATATGAACATGTTTATATCTTAATAATAATAGGTAAACTTTGAATTATCTACAATATGAAATTATTCCAGTCATATGATCCATATTAAAATAAAAGATATATTTTAGGAATATATAACAAATTAATAGTATAAACATAATGTTCTCAGTTCACAAATACCATGATCAACTACTTGAAATGTAGTCGATCATGAAAATGTACAATCATTTGAAGACAAACATAAAGATATTTTTCATGAAACTATAGAATTAAATCATAATATATGTGCTGGTCTCTTGATCCTCTTCATCTGTCTTTAATATAAATCATATGTTTTATTTAAATGTTATGTTATATTGGAGTTGGGTAAACAAGAAGTGTGGTAGTTGAATGTTGTGATTATTATGTTAACACAATAAATACATTATTAATTATCACTGTATTAATCTTGGGGATAACTCATGGTGTCAGACAGGATTTAACCATGCCAAATAGGAAGATCAGAAAGTCACGAAGATACCAGGCTGATGCAGAAACTGAAGAAGATGAAAATTCAGGTAACCAGCAAAGTTCTACTACAGTGACTCACAAATCTGACTTGGTTCCTCATGGCAGGTACATTTACGTACCACCGCCTTTTGATTGTTTTTTTGAAAACCGGGAATCTGATTGGACATCCTGGATAAGGAAATTTGAACGCTATAGGGTTGCTTCACTTTTAAACCACGAACCTCAGGAAACTCAGATCAGTTCTTTATTACTTGCCATGGGTGATGAAGTTGAGTATATTTTTGATTCATTTGGGCTGTCTAACGCCTCTTATGATGAGGTTGTACGCAATTTCAATAATTACTTTAACAAAGCTGTCAACATTGTTTATGAAAGAGCACGGTTTAATAAGAGGAACCAGCTTGAAGGGGAATCTTTTGAACTATACTTAACAGCTCTTCATAGATTGGTCAAAAATTGTAACTTTGGGGCACTTAAAGATGAGATGCTACGTGACCGCATCGTGGTTGGGGTACGTGACAGCAAACTTTCAGAATCATTGCAGATGAATAGCAACCTGTTGTTGAATGAAGCAGTAGAAAAAGCTAAGCTATGGGAATCAGTTAAAATGCAGCAAGGAACGATTAGGGGTGTGACGTCAAAGGACATTGATGTTCTTTCAGCCCGACATGATAATTCCTCGTCCTCAGACTCAGGTTCTAAATGTAATAAATATATGAGTAAAGAAGTAAGAGGATTCAAATGTTTTCGTTGCGGGGACACTAACTATTACTCCAGAGAAAACTGCCCAGGATACAAAGTACGTTGTAGGTATTGCAATATAGTGGGGCATTTTGAACGATGTTGCAAAAGAAAGAAGAAAGAAGTTAAAGAGGTTGAGGCATTTGAAGATGAATGTTCTGGTAGTGACACAAATGCTTCGCTGGGTACTGTTGAGTTCTCAGTGGATAGCTTGTCCACCACTCCACCATATAAGGTATGTTTGCACGTAAATGAAACTCCGGTAGTGTTTAAAATTGATACTGGAGCGGACGTTTCATGTATACCGGAAGCCTTGTGGAAAAAGAGTTTTTCATGTTTGGCATTACAGCCTTTCAATGGATGTATCAAGTCTGCTGGCCAATATTCTCTTAGCTGCCTTGGAAAATTAGTATCTCATTTAAAACTGCGCGATAGGAAGTGTGAAGAAGAACTCTATGTCATTCGTGGACTTAAGCAACCCTTACTTGGCCGTACTGCCATTAAAGCGTTATCTCTGATTATATACACTGAACTTGGTAATAAACAACCCTTGGATATTGCATCCTTAGACTATCCTGATCTTTCTGCGACCTATCCGAGAGTTTTAAAGGGAGAATCCGTGATCAATACTCCATTTCCTGAACTACCGTGGTCCCTAGTTGGGTGTGACTTCACCAGAGTCAAGGGTCAATTGTTTTTTGTGATAGAGGACTACTACTCAAGGTATCTGGATGTGATACCAATAAAGTCGACTGCTGCAGTACCTGTCTTAGTCTCTTATTCTAATTCAGCTGTTCACCGCCAGTCTACGGACATGAATGGAATAAAGTGTTTGGATATATAAAATGTGTGGAGGGAGTTCGGCCATTAAATGCACATTGTCTATGTTGAACCACTTTCTGACATACACATTTGGTCAACTGGTAACAAAAATCACACGTGGTCCACCCTCTACCTACCTAATGTAACCTAGTCACAGAACGAGATTTGTACTTAACGGGAACGTCAGTCTAGTCTAGGTCCTACCATGCTACTTACGGTAACACTATCTTTCACAACTTTTTTGAATATTAGGACGAGACTAATCCCCCATCGGGATCAGTGATAGTTAGAATAAATAGTAATGTAGTTGATAACATGGCGTTGGTCTCAGATTTGAAGTAGCTCGGTTGGTCGTGACGATAGCTCGATGAAACGACGGATACCTTAATTTACGCATAATCCTCGTATATAGATGTTGTACTCGGCATGGCACAATTGGCATGATAGCCTTACAAAGTTGGAAAGCAGTCGCTCCAGTCGTCTAGGAGTAGTTTGAGCACCGAGTTGCACAAGGCAGTGTGTGAAACGTTCGGTAGTTCCGTACTATTGAAACTTGGAAACGTTTTAAGTATAAATATTGTCACAGAAGAAACTGTAAAGGAAAATCAACATCATATATATGTATGCTTGTTGGGAATATTATACTAATTAACATTGTCGATTCATTGAAGTAGCCAAAATAGGTTTAAAAAAAAATTGGTTACCAAGTATATCTCGTCTAGCCATCTACTTCCCAAAATTGTCTTTGAACTAAACACTAACAAATCATAACACACCCCTTTAAGGTAGATTCGCTTAATATAACTGAAACTGGTTGCTTTTCATGATTTATAAGAATACGTAAATTCCTTTCATTCCTAGATCGATTGGATCTTATTGCACCCGTTCTAATAAGAGAGTATGTTTGTTTAGGATGTTATACTGCAGATGTTAAACATCTTTGTATTTTCTAGCTCGATTCGCATTTGGAAAGAACTCATTCCTGACGGGGTTTGGTCTCGGGTTCCTAGCGTTTGGGCTGAAGAAGCTCCTGCTGCCAGTGTTCATCGGCGCACAGATCGTCAAGTCCGTGCTACTGGCCATGTTCTTGCCCAGCATCATCGGCGGCATCGCCAAGCTCATGGGCAAGGGCCTGACCTCCGTGGCGCAGGGCTCCAGCAGCTCAGCTCACGGTGCCGGTCAGGACACCATCTCAGACTTTGACTTCAAGGTGAGCAACCTCCAAATATAGCCTACAAACTATTGCGTAATCCTGGTCTTATAGATGTACTCTTAGAAAAAGAGTTTCAATTCAACAAACAATTGACCTGTGGATACTGAAGTAGACATCACATATTATAAGGAGTCGTAGCCAGGGGTTTTAGCCACTCACAGAGTTTGCTACTGTCCCCTAGTTTTAGATATTTTGATTGATGGTGTAACAGAAAAGATGTTATAGTTTACATTTAATTGTATCCTTTCAGTTTGCCTTTGTTAAAAAGTTGGTGCATTCGATCAATCATAAAGTGTTATATATATATATCGCGGACTCTTTTGGTGGCTCAATTAATTTATTAACTACGGCCATTTTCACTGAGTTGAGCGAGCGAAGCTCTTATACTACACTCCTGATTTTTTTACCAAATAGCCTACTCCTCCTGAACTGCTGAAGCGATCCGCACAAAATTTAGCCAACTGTAACCTACTATGAAAAGGTATAAATATTAAATTGAATAAATCGGACTACAGGGCTTTACCCTGCCTGAGTTTAAGCTTTTCGGAAATTAACATGGGTGTCCTTAACGATAAAAACTTAAACAAAGGAGTTGTAACATATGTTTAAATATGCAAACCATCTACAGTAAACCAGCACATAACAAACACAGTAAAAACTGTAATAATTGGAATAATACAGTTGAACATATTGTACTACAAAATGAATAATCAATTAGGGTCTAAGCACCATTGACTTTGGACACTGCAAGTAGACATCACATTTACGTGAACCATCGTTAAATAGGCCTCCTATTTTCTTGAACCAGATGTAACATTGATTTAAAGATACTACGGTAGGCCTACCCAGACAGCACAGGATGTTTTAAAAATAAATTTTTTTCAATCTTTAAAGTATATTTTAAAAATGCATCCTATTCCACCCCCGATGTATCTTAAAATTGTATTAATATTTTATAAATGTTATTACAAAATATTATTTAAAAAAGGATTTAAATATTATAAATAAAGATTTAGTATGAAAAGCATAATAATTATTAGTTGAGTAAATTGATTAAATAGTTCATAAAAACAAATTTTGATAAAAAAAACTAGAACAAAATTTGTTCTGCCGGGTCAGGTCTTGAACCTGGTACCTTTGTGTTGTGAGCCTTTTACCTTACCTCTGAGCTACATGTCCTTATTGATACTGAGAGTTTTCGAGGGGTCAAAGAGTAGCCAACAGTTGCAATAGACGCAATACTTAAAATATTTTTGATATTACAGTTAATCTGTTAATCTGTTTAGGCATCAGGTAGTTGAATTGTTTTTCTGGGAGTTGGATAGGATACTGGTATTTGAATATAGATTATTTAATTACCATTATAATAGTAATGTTATTATAATTAATTCTTATAAGATTAATTAATCTTTCCCCTTAAATTGTTCAACTATTAAAAATTAGCTCAAATAAGTCAAAGAATTTTAATAAAAAAAGCATTATTATAATTGTAATATTTTAAGCAGGCGTTCCCCACTGTATCTAGTATCACAACATCATCTGACTACATTTATTATAGATCCAATTTATTATAGATCCAATTTACTATGGATCCCAACCGTGCCGACCATTTCCACAGAAAACGTACTACTATAACCATTTCCGAACTTTGGGCCAACATTAACAATGTGTGCTACTTGGGCGGACATCCGGTATGTTAAAAGTTTACTTTTATGAGATAGTCTAAACATTTTGTTTAACTGTTTGGGAAAAAAAGGGAATTATTATTGGAGTGATTTTAAGATATCTTTAATATACGGTACATGCGATAGGCTACTTGAATTATTTTTTGTCATGGCCCTAAAAAAATGCTTTAAGGAAAAAGAGATTTGTTGTCAAAATATATTTTTTAAACGTGTGGGAAATATATTTTACCTAGCTCAGTTGAAACAAATTACCAAAATATATTTTAAAAACTTAAACAGTCTATTTATAAAATATTTCTATAATATTCTTTAAAAATATTCTTAAAAGCTATATTTTTTGGCAAATAAAATATTTTAAAAATATCTTTTACTAAATTATTTTGTCTTAATATATTAAAAATATTTTTTAAATATATTCAACTGAAAAATAAAAAATATTTACAAATTATATTTTTAAGACCATTAAAAATCATTTAAAAAAATTTTAAAACTATTATGTTAACATATTGTTCAAAAATTAAAAAAATATATTTTATAAATAATATTAAAATATATAAAATATTTTTAACATGGATATATGTTTAAAACATATTTATAAAATATCCTTGCGCTGTCTGGGTAGACATCAAAATCACGGGAACCATATGAATGTAGCATTGACTTTGGATACTGCAAGTAAAAATCCTATTAATGCGAACCAGGGATGTGTGTGTATTTTACTATTAAGTACACATCTCATTGTGTGAACTCGAACTCATTGAGAACAATCAATTCGTGGTTACATTTCTCAAAAGTAATGGATGTATGTATAAGCTTTGTCCGCTTAATATTGTACGCAGACAATGACATTGTACCCCTAGATTAAAAACATAGCTACAACTTTAACATGGAGCGGATTGTCTACTGTTAGTCAGAGATACTACTCTAACATGACGAGAGGTTCGACATGATATAGCGCTATCTATTGTAACAGGTTATTATTTATTAGGTATTGTTGAATGAGATGAAGTTGTTATAAATGTCGCCAGCCAATATTCTTGCCAAGCAGTTCTGTTCAGTGATCATACTTTACAGACACGAATGTGACTCGTTTATCTTGTGTGTTATGCAGGACACGGGGACTGGCGGAGGTGGTGGAGGCTACGATAGCCTGGGGGCGGGCTCTGACGACAACACCGGAGTGTGGACCTACCCTCCGGACAGCTCCGGCAGACAGCCCTTCCCCGCGTACACCAGCTCGGGCCTGGGAGCCACCTCGGCCGCGGCAGCCGCGCTCAAGCAGCCGCAAGACAGGTACATTCACCCCTGTGGCAAATAATATGCGAAGAGAATATCGAAAAAAACTTCTTCCCAATGAGGAAATCACCGAGGTCGGAAAGTTTTATGAATTCTAGACTAAGGATTAATTTAAAGTGATTGAAAACATACGCAAACATTATTTCTGGCATAATATGTTTCTCTTATCGGGATTAACACATTAGTATATACCACACCTATACACGAATTTAAAGGGAAGTAAAACTTCTCTCACCATCTCACTTCTAGTCTCGTTTAATTTCTCAATTTCACATAAAGTGATTTTTTGCTTGGGGCTCAAATAGGTTAATAACACAGGCAGGGCCAGGCCGTGGGAAACACTGTACCGTTGTGTGTTCAAACCGTTTCAAATCCCACCTTGTTCATTTAATGAATCACATCTCTCCTTCAGACTATGATGAACACGCCATATAATTTAACTTTTACTTATGTGTCGAGTTTGCTACAGTTCACACCTCTATTAGAAAACCCATTGTTGACTCTCATTCAAAAATGTCGTTGAAACCCATTATTAGTTATTTTCGCTCGACGAAGACAGACAATGAATAATCTATATCTAATACAGTATTTTTAACTATTGATACAACTAGACATTCCATCCCCATGCTTAAGTTGTCGCCAGTTTTTTTACGAAAACAATACATAGGCCTATAATATGTACAGGGGGAGAAAGTAATCACATATTTCAAGGCATCATTCAAGCCATGAACATGTGATCTCCTATTTTTGAATGATACCAACAACAGTCTCAGTCGGCTAAGTGGAACGACCCCGTTTGCGGCCAACCAACGCTTAATCTGTTTTGAATGATTGTCAAGGAAATCTTCCCATATAATCAACTTAACAACAATAATAACTGTCGCTGGTTTCACCCTTGTTGGTGCCCAACAATTCTTCAAAGAAAAGTATGTTTTACTATTGAAGATAGTAATTCATTTTCCACATCAAGGTCAAAGATATTTTTATTGCCGACTGAGCCGCTTAATCCATCTGGATGGGCTGGTTTTGAGCCCGCACTCTCGCAACGAAGTCCAAGACACTAACTACACTAGCATTGACTTTTGTATACTGAATTATACACCAACTGAAACCAAAAATAGAACATGAATGAATGAACATGAGCTGCTCACAGAGTGAATCAAAATTCTATGTTATTTTTTTATACAGGATAGTTGATGTGACATACAATATTCTTTATTTATTTATTCCTCTCAACGGTTAAATTATTTTACAATTACGTGTTTGTGTCAATTATAGCTCTAATTTCATAAAATGTTTGTAAACTCTTGCCATTTTGGAAATATGTACACTATTTACTATACCCTATTAGCTGCATTCGTCAGATGCCCTACGTATGGAAAACATTGTCAGCCAGGTAAAGTCTACTTTCATTTACGCAGGTTTAAATATTTTTCTTAAATTCTTCAATTACTCATCTCGGCATAAATTACGAGTGAAGATTATTGCTTGAATGATGCTTTGAAATATGTTATTTTGTATGCTACAGTAAACTGTCTGGAAACGACATTATATAAAACGTCCATCAAACGTTGCCGTCCCACCCGTGATCTCAAAACAATGCTTGATCTTATCAACCCTACGAATCAACGCTTGACTAACCGTTTCAATATCCACATTAAACAGTTATTTTCGTCAAAGCGGCTTCTTTTTCGGTTTAATCAGGTTCTCCTGAAATTTATAATCCACTTAGGAACTGTGGGCTGGAAACTATACCACGTCGTTTAAGATGAAAGGGGAATTTAAACAAATAAGCACAAAAAATGAATTTGAAAAAATAACATGTGCCTTATGGGTTGTCGTGCTGGTGAAAAAATTACAACAAAATATAAACAGAAAATCCAAACAAATTCCTATCACATGTTTTATTTACAGTGTGGGGTGGAAATAGATAAGTCTGTACATTAAATACTTTTGATGGAGTTTTCGACCACGGAGCAACCTCTAGGAGCCAATATAAAAATAAACTTGTTATGGAGATTTAACATGGGGCCAAAATTTAAAGCTTATGGCAGCTAGCCTGACTATACTACTGGACCGAATTACACACGGGTTGTACCAAAAGAAGGGTTATCGGTCCTATATGTGCAGGTTTTTTTGTATTTTGAAAATATTTATGTTAATTGGGTCAAAAATGGAAATTCGACTTTTCTTATGGAGATAATGAGGCTAATTCTATATATTAATAGACACATGTTTATTGAAAACCTTTGTTCTCAGCTCCTGTGCATCGCAGGGAAAATCTACGCATACTGTTAGAAAGATATTTGCCTGTAGATGTGCAGAATCACATTATAAATTAAAATAGGCTAAAAAAGCCCAACAAATGAATTTAAAGAAATTAACATGGGCCTTATGGGTTGCTAATTTGGTGATGATATAACAACAAAATATATGGAAGAAATTCCAATCACATGTTTTATTTACAGCGTGGGGTAAAAATAGAGAAGTTTGCACAATACACACTTTTGGTCGAGTTTTAGACTACGTGGCGAGCTCTAGTATTATATATATCGTATTTATATCGGAAACAATATACTATTTATTGCGACTTTCTTCAACCTGCAGTGGACTTAATTATTAATTATTACAGTTATCGTAATTATTACTTAACTAAGACAAGAACATTTCATCAACTTACTATTCTTGTTAATCACTTTCATTCTTGTAGCTGCAACTAAAATGTATGTCTGGAGCAAATTTATTATTTGAGTTGGATACTATGAAAAGGCATTTGATTTGGTTGCTAATAATATCAATGTCAAATATGTCAATAATCAGTTCTTAATGACGTCATAACATGGGTAAAAACACAGAGGAGCAGGGCAGGTCGCATAATTGCATACCGGCTGGTTACCAAAGAATCTGATTGGTTGCTGAGTCTTGTTTTGTCTTTTACAGTACTGACTGTACTAGACATTAAATCTTATTGTACATATGGTACACAAGTTTCATTTGCATAAATTCATTAACAAACATTTTGTCACACTTTAATTTTACATTTTTTTTATTATTAATTAGAATAACAAGGGGGCTGAGTACGCTTGTTTGCTGCTTTAGGAACCACCTGCAGTTTATATTTTTGTATAAATGCTGATTTTGGCATTTGGGAACCTCAAGCCGAAACAAAAAGTACCGGGCCTAGATATTGGGGTGTTACCATGTTGACTACGGTGCCGTAATAGTTTTTTCCGCTTCCTCCGTATTCGGGGAAATTTGCAAAAAAAAAACTGTGATCAAGTTTGATTTGCATAGTATTGATTTAAACTTACTTTTAATTCTTAAATCATTTGCTTTTTTATTTTAAAAATCAATGAGAATGTGATGAATATGGTGGTCTAAATGGGGTTGACACCACAGAAGCAACCGAATGAAAACATCAGCTGCTATAATTTTTCGAAAAATATTATTTCAATTCATGTGCACAAAACAATAACCAAACAAATCAACCAACACGAAAAACACCCCGTAAATAGAGCATACGGGTCAAAATCCGTTACACAGTGAAAAGTCCTGTGTGGAATATGTAAAATCGTTGTCAAGTGCCATTCCGCATGCCCTATTCGAGCCATCTCCGCTTACAGCTAGACGAACAATTTGACTTGGCAATTCTTGGCGCTTGCCGCGGTGCTATGCGCTACCATACTCCTTTTATCTATGGCGCTACTGTATAATTAATTCTAGGCTGCGTTCACAAAGAAAGCTGGTTACAAGTAACAGCGAGAATTTTATTGTGTGTACACAACAAAAGCTTGCATTTCAAGCTAGTTTTTTTGCTGACAATGTCTTTATCAAGGGATGAACAGTTATTTTTGCTAGAAAATTTACTAGAAAAAAAAGGTTTGCAGAATAATACCACCACCTATTTCCTTAATTCGCATTGGACAAATGAGGTTTTTTCTTATCTGAGGATGGAGTTAATCACGTTTAGTTATATCCTAAAGAAACTCTATTAGCATGTAGTTTAAGGCGTTTGTCCCAAATAGCCCCTCTTCTAAAGACTTAAAATATCAGTTCATCGACATCTATACTGCACAGTTGTTTGTCACTGACTGGTTCGGTCAATAAAAGACAGAAAACAACGTTCTTGCGTGATTGTCTTTGTCAGAACTTGTAGCAAGCGCTTGCTAGCCGGGGCAAGTTTTGTCTCTGAACGCACACGCTTGATACAATGTCGATTTTTCTCACGTCTGTTGGAACTTGCGGTTGTGTCCATTTTGCGGTCGTCCATTTTCCGGTCAAGGGTAAAATCGTCCATTTACCGGTCAACCCAAAAATCTCGTGGGGTGTCTGAAAAATAGCTTTCCATTTTGCGGTCACATATTCTGAAAATCCCGAGAACATGTGAGCCAGGTTGACGATTCATAGCGGAGACTAGGTCGATGGGCCTGAAGTTGCGTAGGTATGGGGAGTACCAATGCCCTAATAGGTATGTGACCTGAAATTATGCACCCCTCGCCCGCTTTACTTTTTACTAACAATTTATTTTGCGAGATTAGCTTAGCTGTTGTCGGATAAGTGTTAACACTTACGTGTGTGGATAGTAATCGTATTATTTAAGTAAGAATCATATAGTTAGTGGATTTTTTATTTCGTATTTTGTTAAGTGTTACGATGGAATTGATTGAAACTGTGAGTGTGAGGGGAAAGACAAGTTTGCATTATAATGGGTATGCTATTCTCATCGGATATATAAAGAAAACAAACAAGGTTTTGTGACGTAGGAGTGCTTAAAGGAAAGATCCGCCAGACGCAAGGGCAGAATAGTGTTTTAATTTAAGACAATGTTGAAAGCTGCGATTATGTGCCAGAAGAAACCTTTCTTGATGTAAACAAGGCGGTGTTTTCAGCAAAAAAACGGACTCGAGAGGACATTGTAACTGTATTGTAACCGATGTATAACAAGTTTGTTAGAATAAACAGCCATTTATAATATACTAGCTGTACCCGCGGGCTTT